TATATATATATATATATATATATACATTTAATTCAGCACAAAGGGTGTATTTAACAAAAACATTTTGGAGCTGAGAAATGTTTCCTTGTGACATGTAACTGCTATAACAACATGATCATGCTCAACTTATACATTTGATTAATTAATTGGTTGCTTGAGAACTTAAAAATCCTCATAAAATAGTTCATGAAAAATATTTTTTTATTATATTACTTATTGAATCTCTACTTTTGCCAGAATAGCAACACATTTCAAGATCAAAACATTTCCATATATGCTATTTCCTGAACCAGCTTTATTCATGTATACATTTTAGATTTTTTGTTAATAATAGTGGTACCACATATACGTATGTTTGTTTTATTCCACCCAGTAGGTGGCAGCGTTGAGCGAGTGTGCGCCTGCGGGGATTAGTAGAAGTAAGCTCCTCTCTGAGGAGAAATAAGAGGTCTCACTTTGCTGCTGTTTTATGTGAGACCTTGCTCTAATTTATAAGTGCTGAATTATTTCAAAGTCATACTTTATATTTATTTATAGAATAAAAGAATGTTTCCAAGTCACACAAAGTATGTGTAATGGTTAAAAACGTACTTCTGTAATCAGACGTGGGAGTCAGTAACGAAGTGAACTATCTTTACTATTCACAGCCTGGTCTTAGCTTGCTGCTCTCTCTTGTCAACTATGCTAACTAGAAGGTTTATGAAGCCTCATCTTTTGGGGTTGAGGAATGTTTTATTGCGGGGACAGTTGCTGTCTGCGGCCCCTGTCAGGTAACATATATATATATGCGCTAAATAAGTTTAATGTTTGTCACTTTTAAGGTAGTCTATTATTTCTTATGAGAATATGTTTCGGTAATCGCTACGACATTGTTAAATATCTGTAACGTTCCATGTGCATCTTGCAGGTTGTTGGATTAATTAAATATATTTTATGATATTAGTTGTTGTTGTTGTTTTAAATACACCTTAAAAGCAGGTTTTTTGTCGACTGTAATATCCGTAGAAGTGGGTCGCGTTAACCTTTGACACACTTCTCTTATCATGACAACTAATCTGTTGCTGGATATGTATAGAGGCAGGTTTAATTTGAAAATCCAAGACAGTGTGATGAAAATAATGAATCAGCAAAATAAGTGGCAGAATGCTCGACAATTTCAAGAATGGTTAGGTTAGTTTAAGCCATACATACATAATCCCCTGCTACTTTATCAAAATAGTCATGGCTCTTCAACATGGATGTGTCATTAGAAAGCTTTCTAATAAAACATCCATGGTTTGCAATCAACCACTTTCCAGCTAAAAAAAAAAAAAAGAAAGTATAAATTTCTGTCGTTTTTCCCAGGCTGCAGTATGACAGATCCCAGCAGTTCAAGCAGTCTGTCCTCTCAGTCCGCCCAGAGACCTCCAGTGCCAAGACCCTGATGGACATTGGGACCCGCCGGATCTTCAATGAGGACTATGATCTCTTCAGGCAAAATGTCCGGCGCTTCTTTCAAGAGGAAGTGGTTCCACACCACAAGGAGTAGGTCAAATCTTTCTTGTTGCATAGCCAAGTACACAACTACAACGACACACCACAAATTCACTACTCAACCATAAAATCATTTTTCTTTGTTGCAGGTGGGAGAAGGCAGGCCAGGTAAGCAGGGAAGTGTGGGAGAAGGCTGGTGAGCAAGGCCTGCTGGGAGTAATGATACCAGAAGAGCACGGTGGTGTTGGAGGAGACCTGTTTTCTGCGGCTGTCGTGTGGGAGGAGCAGTAAGGTCTTGAAATGTAAACCACAGTTAGTCACACCTGATCATATCTTTTTAAATTAGAGTTTGTTTTTGTCTTCCAGAATGTACTGTAACTGTTCAGGCCCGGGGTTTGCCTTGCACTCAGACATCGTTATGCCCTACATTGTCAACTATGGTAGCAAGGAGCAGATTGAACGCTTCATCCCCAAGATGACTGCTGGGAAATGCATTGGTGCTATTGCCATGACAGAGCCAGGAGCAGGCAGGTCAGGACTTGGTTGGAGAGAAATCAGCACGCACAGCACTAATGTGGTGAAGCTTTGATGAACCATCTCATTTACTTTTTCAGCGATCTGCAGGGTGTCAGGACGTACGCCAAGAGGGATGGCAGTGACTGGATCCTCAGTGGCAACAAGGTGCTGAGTCATGATGGCAGCAACATTCACATCACTTGCATCTCAACCTCGGCTTGAACTCTTTTCTGTCTCAATTCTCCAGGTGTTTATCACAAATGGTTGGCTGTCCGACCTGGTGGTGGTAGTGACCGTGACCAACCGTGAGGCAAAAACAGCTGCACACGGCATCAGTCTGTTCCTGGTGGAAGACGGCATGAAGGGCTTCCAGAAGGGACGCAAGTTGGAGAAGATTGGTCTGAAGGCTCAGGTACCTGAGCTTTAGTGCTTTAGGGCACATAGCATTTCCATCTATCTTTGACCATCTCAACAGAAGGCAAGCACAATTTTGATGTCAGGTCACTGTAATTCTGTCCTCTCACTGTCATTTTTTCTTCTTACAAAGGACACAGCTGAACTGTTTTTTGAGGATGTCCGGCTCCCAGCTGACGCTCTCTTGGGGGAAGTCAACAAGGGTTTCTACTACCTGATGAATGAACTGGCACAGGTGAAAGGGACATGGGAAAATATTGAATTGAGTTACTAAAAAGCTATTTATTCATCTCAGTCACTCTTAGTGCCAGAGTGCTGCAGATAGCATTAAAAAAAAAATCCCACCTCTTCTGAGTCATATCTCAGTCACACGAACACTGATGTGCTCCACCGATTCAGCGTGCCCTCCACTGAAGATATATTTCAGGTGTCTACTGTGAATACCTGTACTGCCTTCTAACAGAACCTGACTGACTGAGAATCTTCTTTTTTAAAAACTACCATCACTATTAACATAATCTAGTGATAGTAGCCTGTGCATCCATGGATTCACTGCAAAAAGGACTGTTAATAGATAATTCGGCAAGTCTTATTGGCACCAGTTTGTGATGGGATGCTGTTGCTGGGATGCTAATTGTCTCATCTTACTGTGTTTTGGAATAGGAGCGTCTTTTGATTGCTGACATGGCCATAGCGAGCTGTGAGTTCATGTTTGAGGAAACCAGGAACTATGTGCTGCAGAGGAAGGTGTTTGGCAAGACAGTGGCTCACCTACAGGTCTATATAACAAAGTTTTGCATGTTTTATGTGCTTTTAAACTACTGTAAATTACTTTTATATCTGTGACCAACAGCCAGCATTATCAGATTTTCATGTTAAACGTTTGGCTTCCAGACTTATTCTGCTTTTTATTTGTTCTCTTCTTCCTAATGTTACTGTTTAGCATTTGCTGCCAAGGCCTTAGAATCTGATTTATTCTTTAGATGAATACTTTTCATTGCATCTAATTTTCCCCCACAGACTGTGCAGCACAAACTGGCAGAGCTGAAGACTGACATCTGTGTGGGCCGTGCCTTCTTGGATAACTGCCTTCAGGTTCATGCAGAGAAACGCCTGGACCACGCCACGGCTTCCATGGCCAAGTTTTGGTGAGAATGCTTTTTTTTTTTATTTTGAACCAGCTTCTCAAAAGTCTGCCATGTCCCTGCTTTGTGCCAACGGCCTTCATCTTTTCTTTAGGGCGACTGACCTCCAGAACAAAGTGGCCACTCAGTGCCTGCAGCTCCACGGAGGCTGGGGCTACATGTGGGAATACCCCATCGCAAAGTAAGTTTCACATCATCTGACAAATAGTGTTTTTCTACTGCAGGGACTTGGCAAGCTGTAACCTGGAGCTTCCCCTCGCATGTAAACAGTCACTGTTTACATGAAGGCAGGGCTACACTCGTCTCTACACAGCTGAGATGAGGCAGAACACAAAGCTGCAGAAATGTGGCGTTTTTGCCATTTGCCCCGTGATCAACTTGCTGAAGTCCCTGTTTTACCTCAAAACCAGTATGAGTGAAGTCTGTGTCACCTTTAAACCACTATAAGTTTGTTTTCACTCTCTGTGCATGTAATGCATTAGCATACTGGTTTCGCGGTGCTTGAGATGTGACAATGCTGCCATTTAATCCACATTGTTTTCAACTTGTTTTGTCTTTCCAGGGCGTTTGTGGACTCCCGTGTTCAGCCCATTTATGGAGGCACCAATGAGATCATGAAAGAGCTTATTGCCCGCAGCATTGTCGGCCAGAAGTGAGACATTGGTTGTTTTGATGGTGGAGGATCACTGGACTGGTTTGCACAGCTGTTTTTGGGGGGTTAAAGAATGAATTTAGTCATGACCAGCTGTGACAAGTCTGGAAGGGTGCTTTAGCATTTAGCATTATCCTGAAATGGTGTTTTCTAACACATGGCCACTGTTCAGCAAAAGTTAGACTCAATCTAGTTGCTTAGTATACATTGTGTTTTAGCGTTTCTTTCATTTATCACATCTATTCTGTTCAGTTCTATTTTATTTTATTTGTATAGCGCCAAATCACAACAAAAGTCATCTCAGGACACTTTACAAAGTAAGGTCTAGACTTTAATATTATTATTTTAGATGAAAACCCAACAAATCCTCCCTGAGCAGCACTTGGCGACAGCGGGGAGGAAAAACCCCCTGCAACAGAAGAAACCTCTGACAGACCCCGGCTCTTGGTGGATGGCCTTCTACAGTACATGCTTTTTTGTCACCATTAAAAGTGTTTTTACTCAAACTGAAACTTTATATAAATATATTTTACATGCCAGTTTTGTTCAGAATAGAAAGAAAATCTGTAGTTTCTGCATCCTTCAATAATACACTTTAAAAAAATCACTACATAGTTCTGTCAGTAAAACTTTGTTCCAAGCTGAACATTTGTAAATCAGATATTACTAATAAGTTAATCATTTGTTTTCACTGCTTCACCTGTACAGATTTGGGTGAGGATTAATTTCAGGAGTAGGTCAAGTTGGGGGTGTAACTGAGAGCCATGTGTTTTAAATGTTGAATTGAAATGTTCTATTCAGAGAGAAATTCATGTAAAACAGCATCAGCATCTTGGCTGTGCTGTATTATTTCCACCAGTAGATGGCAGTAGAGAAATGACAAATGAGTTGATTCTATTGCAGCATGGTAACAAGCAAAAACTGATTGTTGAATGTAACTGAATGATGACACAGCATACAGAATATCTTTTATCTTAATGATGGCATTTTTGTTACCATGTATTTGTGCCCTTTTGACTCTAGTACATGATTCTGTAAATAAATTCTACATTAATGTGACCGTTTTGTGCTGAAAGTCCCCCAAAAAGCCCACATCAGTGGAGCAGGGAGAGGAACCAGACAGTCTCCCCATCACGCCTCAAAAGTGCAGCTGTTTTCTGGTGCATTCCCCCCCCACACACACACACACACACACACAGATCCTGCTTGTATTTCCACCTTTTCCCTGTACTCTTCTTCGTTTTCCCGCCCCTCCTTCTCTCTTTACCGTTAACATCACATCCACGATATCCCCCTTCTCCCCCCCCGCTGTTTCCTCTCCTTCTCCATCTCCATCTTTCCTTAGCAACAGCCACACCCCGATGCTTCAGCTCTGTACACAGACTGCCTTCCCTTTCTGCAAAGCATGTTGATGCAAACCCACTTTCAGGATGAAAGCTGTTTTCATGTTAGCACTTTGCACTAGTGCGGTTTTTCATCTGGCTTTATGTCACTGTGACTCAATCACAAATTTGGTGTTTTTTTCTTTGTTTAAGTGCATGCATTTGTTGCATATGTGCACTCCAAAGATGCCCAGCTATCTCTTAATCATAATGAGAGACTGCCTGCCATGTTTATTGCAGCCCCAGTATCCCCTTGCGCCCGTATTTCTGCATTTACGGTAGCTTAATTTGCAATGGGAGGGATCAGAGGGCCCCATACTGTGCTCATTGTCACTACTGCTCCCTCAGACACCAGGGTATTAGTGCCGCTCCGCAACCTAAACATCCAGGTAAGAATTTGAGCAGTTTGTTGGTCATTTACTGGGGAAATGAGGCTTTCTAATCGCTCTAATTAGAATGAATGTAGAGTTATGGCAATTTTAGGCCAACAGGAGCTGCTATGAAAGTTTCCAGTGAAGTCAAAAGTGTGCCTATATTAATGTTGGCATATTGCTGTCCACTAATTCTCAGCTGTTGTGATTGAGCGCGTTATGGTGTAATGTGCAGTTATGTGTATGAATGAAGAGATATGAATAAGCTGAATGTATTAATATCTCGGTTGTAACTTAAAGATTTGACATTAAAAATCAGGGCTTAATCATGTGGAATGATGATTTAGATTGTGTTTTATTCTCGGTATTTGCCGCTGCCTTACTGCGCCCTGGTGCGTCTCCGCTGCTGCACCCTGAGCCTTTTGTTCTGGTCCGCGCCTGTATGGTGCTGAAACGGGCTATCCCGTCTTTCCACTGCAGTGCAACAGACTCGCCTATGAAACTGACAGTTTATTTAACTGATATAAGTGCAGGCTTTTATAATTACTTTAATCTCGGTGCGGGTATTTTGGCAGATGTCTTAACCATTGTCATGTATTGTGGATGGGAGTAGCCCAGCTTATAGCTGGCTCCTTGTCTGGCCACAATCTCTTGCCTTTGCAGGCATTACCACCTTGCATCAGCAAAAAGGTGGCATGGCTTCAAGAACACATGCATTTTTAATATTTGTTTAGTTTAGCGGGAACCTTGTATAGGAGTGCTGTGTCAGCAGTGAGCCACCCAATTATCAAAACCTGATTTTCCTTGTCTAGTGACTATAATGGAGCCCTGCCTTGATGGGATGTAATGTCTTCAAGCATGGACCTATTTCAAATCTAGCCCATTTCCATGTATTCTCAGCCTCCACATGCAGAGGAGATAAAATAACAGTTGGTTTCCCACATCTGGATGTGAAAATAACCCGTTCTGAAAGGGAATAACTACACTCTGGTTTCTGTATTTGCACATTCCTGTTGCTGTCTCATTAAGCCCCTAGTTATGGACAAGATATGTATTGAAAACAGTACCTTTACATGCTGGTGATGTTGGATTTGGTGTTCATTCCAAGTCAATGTGGTCTGCTTAAACTTTCTTCACTGACCTTACAGTTCATGCAACTTTGTTCTTGGTTTGAGATGTAGCAACCCGAGACTCAGTTAGAGTACGGAGAAGATTAAATACAATAAATGTCCAGGAATTTGTTGTACTAACATGAATGAAGAGAACATGTATATACTTCCAGGGTTTCACAGACAGTAGTGACAACATTACTGTAGTTTCAACAGGCAGTAGCAGAAATCATCATGTGCCAGGGACTGTAATCCATAAACAATACCTGGTAAGCAAATCATTTCTACTACACTTAAAAAGCAGTGTAATTCTGATTTGTATTTATTTAATGCTAATCATGCCAGCACTTTGTGCTTAATGGGTGCTAATTAATCTGGCACACAAAGAATGGGCAGAAGGAAAAATATCTAACCACACATAAAATGTATTCATATATAATTCATATATAATTTAGTGTGGTTTTAGTGGTTAGGCACAAACTGGGAACATTAGTTCCTTTCCTCAACGTCTTGGGCGACCAAATGGAGATTGACAAAGTGCATTAGAACAGTTGCAATGTGTGTAAAGTTTCACCTAATTCTGTCAGGAGAAGTCTCTGTCAAGACAGATTGGGCTGAGTCTAATCACAGGTGGAGTAATTGAAATGACCTTAATCATGACAGGACAGCTTGGGTTTGTGTGTGTATGTGTGTGGGTGTACTTGCATAAGCTATGAAAATAAGACTCAAATTTGAATTTTGAGTGTGTGTGTGTGTGTGTGTGATACATTTAGCCACTTCTTGCTTTTCCAACCACCAAGAAATCCAATCTGCCTTCTTGCACCACATGGGAACGTTAAGTATATTTCCCAGCGTCAGTTCTGGTTAGGTGTACCATCAAAGCCCCAAAGCCCCAAAACCACGCTGTGATCCATTGAAAGTAAGATGCCATCTTGGCTGGTGCTTGTTTATAACTGAACTGTACTGGAACAACGTTTGGAATAAGAATCAGTTTCTGGATTTGTTTGTGGATTGATGCAAGATGGATTGACTTTGATGTTTTTGAAGGAGAGTGTTTGGTTTAATGTGTGTCATGATGGGCTTTGGAGGTATTTAAGTGACAATGCAGATCTATTTTGTGTGTGTTTTCTTGTTTAGTGTTAGTGAAGTAGATGAACTCAGCACCATAGAGTGCCAGTGTCACAGGTGTGTGAGGACTCAGGGTGTGTCTGTCGCCCACTGCTGCTCCCAACTGAGGTTTTTGTACTTCAGGTGTCTAATGGGACCTGGCAGAACTGTGCTTGTACTTGATTAAGTCTTGGCTGTTCCAGGGACCTAATCTAATTCACATGTCAGAGGAACCAAATGACCTACTGACCTGCATATGAAGAAGACTCCAAGACACACCCACCTTCTTGGCAAACAGGCACCTAGAACTTTGTTGGTGGGCATAGGAGTAAATTAAGGAGTGGTAATTAAAATTTTGAGGGTGGTGTTGTATTGCCATCATATATTCACCAAGATTATCCAGAGCTCTCTCAGTGTGTATTCTTATTTGATGACTTGGGATGGACATATCATGATCAAGCAGCTTGTACAATCTGCAGTCCAGATGTACAGTAGTTGACACAGCTGTTAAAATGAAAACCTTTAGGTCTCAGTTGTCCATGAGATGTCTAGAGAGATTCTTTAAGCTCATTGTTTTTGAGCAGACCTTTCTTGTCGAGGTTAGTTTTAAAGGGTTTGTTAAATACATGAGTTCCATCATGTCACCTCCTCAGTACAGGACAGTTTCTTTACTCACTCATCCACACTGCTCGCCTTTGTACCAGAGCTCCATCTTCAGCTGACTAGCAGCCAGTCTCCCAAACAAACCCCGACAGCCAGTGTCAGATTTCATTTCTTCATTCAGAGGGCACTGATGCAGGGCATTCTTACATTCAATACCAAAGTCCTTCACATATTGGTATTTATAATATTCTCTTTCTCTTGCTTCTGATTTTGTCTTGTAACCATGTTAGCTAATCCATGAGGTCATTGTGACAATAGCAGGTTGTATAGAGGAGGCTGTTGAAGACCAAGAGTGTGGAGGAAAGGAGTTTATTTCTGAGAGACAACAAATATAACCTGCCTGCCAGAGTGGCTCAGTTTGTACAGGCTGGTTTGGCTTGAGTACAGCAAATCCACTCCATGTTGATCCATGTGCCTCAAAGTGATTTCCTTCTTCTGAAAACTTTCTTTATTTAGATCGGTTTTTGTGGACAAGTGCCTGACGACGCGTGCCAAGCCGAGAATTTCACACACAACTATTACAGGAGGTTTGTGTGTCTTTCTTATTGGGATCATGACATATACAGTAGCTGTTTTAGGTTTCACACCCCTGATTGGCACAGGAGACTGCATGTGACTGTACTGTCGACATTCTGATTAATATTATGGTACTGTCTCTTATATTTAGCTGGCTTGGTCATGCAGCTGTTTTCATGTTAGCAAAACTCTAAAGCTTGTCTGGATTTTACTGGCATTGCAGTTAAACATGCAAATGAAATTTCATTTTCTTTTCCTTTTCTTTTTTTAATGAGGATTCTTTCAGAATAAGAGAAGAAAAAATCTTTGCAGAAAAACAGGTCAATGCAGTTTGATAACTATGGAGACTGTTGTGCAAAATGATTACAGTTTTCATACAGTATTGAGTGAGAAAGATGTAGAAAATGCCTGGAATCCATAAAGTAGAATGATCCTGTGTTGTTTCCTGACATCTAACACAACAGCCACAGTCAGTTTTGTTTCCATGAGTCAAGTTTTTGAACTTGAGAGCTTGTACAATCTGCAGAAAATGCATGAGGGAAAAAAAAGTCATTTAATTTGCTGTTTATTTTACACTTGTCCATCAGAGCCAAAACTAGTTTAAGATTTAGTGGCAGCCTGAGTGATGGACTACAGTTTCTAGTCATTTACATGCAAAACTGCTGGTCAGATATTTTGGACTTTGATGAGGGCTGCTAGTGGGAAGAGACTGCTAATGAGCCTTAGCTTCTTCCTGAATGGGCCACGGACCTCCTGTTAGCCTAGCATAGAGGCTAAGCTAAGTAGTGCTAAGACTTTATGCTTTCCAGATGTTTAAGCTAAACAGCTAGACTGTTTTCTCTGCATTCTTTTGCAAACAGCAGAACGGCAATTGTTACAGGCTGATATATTGGGAGAGGTGTACTCATGGAATGAATGAGTGTCATTGTTATACATGTATTGTTAGAACATTCAGACTCGCTCAGGTTTCTTCATGCTTTTATGAACCTTTTTTTCACAGTCTCATCTCAGTATGAATGTGTTTTTCAGTTGATCCCTTAAGGGAGAAATGTTGGAATGTAATTTCATGGAAATAAGTCTCCACGGATTCAGGGTAAACTGCTTCCCAGGGCCTGAAGCTAAACTAAACCAGAACATCTTAACTGTGTTAGTGTGTGGATGCTTGTAAGTGTCCATCTCTGTGCCTCTGCACATCTGCTTGTCAGGGTTGTATTTGGGATGAATAGAAACCCCAAGTTCAGGAACTTCACACACAGGAGCTCTGTAAAACCAGTGTGAACCATAGAAACAGATGCACAGCATGTGCAGTAGGCTTGTTTTTAACTGGACTGCAGCAACAGAGCAACTCAGTGTGTGCAGTGGATCTCCTGGCCAACTTCCATAAAGGGTTTTTATAGGAAATGACACAAAATTGTCTGAGGAGGGACTTGCTAGCAAATCTAACATCTGTAAGGCATGTAATAGGCAGAGGAAGATGAAGAGACACAAAAATGAGCAAATGCACAATGAACAAACTCCCCTTTCTTATGTATAAACACTTCCTCATAGTAGACTGTAGTGGGTCTCACACTCACAAGTATCCCCCTACCCGGACTGTCTGCATTGTTGTGAAGCACTGACTGT